CGGCAACTTCAATGATGAAGTTGAGTGCGACATAATGCTTAAACACAGGAACGCAAGGCATTTCACTATATTGATCGCTGCATTCGACACGGCGCTGGCATTGAGATACCAGACACAACTATGACCAGCATCCTAGATGCGCACCATCAGTGCAGGATGCTAGTTGGGCCCGCCAAAGTAATATACTCCGACGGGGAAGGTGCTCTCAATAACGACACCGCGAAGGCAGTCCCTAAGGCAAAGGGCACTGAGCTGAGAATATGCGCGCGTGGACAGCACGCCACCACCGTTGAAGCCACAAACGGCATATTACGACACCTGCTTCACGCCATGGAGGCTGATCTCAATAGGTTATACACGCCACTCGTGTTCACCCGACTATTGCATGAGGCTTCGTTTGCCAGCAATGCGTTTACCTTCTACAACGAAGAATCACCGCACAACGCATTGTTTGGCCGACAGCCAGCTACGCTTCCCGACATGCCTGTTCTAGATCACGGACAACAGACGGAGACATCCGATCACAACCGAGGACAGGCGTGATGTTCTCCCTGCACCCCCAGCTGGGACGATGAGCTCGGTTCATTAGCCCCAGCCGTGGTACTAGCGCCGGTAAGACCGCTCTGCCATGCTTGCTTGCCTATAGTGGATAGAGGCGGGGCAAGCGCTGTATCCTGCATTGTCAGGCGGGCTTGCCCATCTCAATAGCTGGCGGCGCGCTCTCTACGTGCTGTCGGATGTTTCCTTTTATTTTGCCTCCTGCTATCGGAATGCCCACCTTATTTAAAGGATAACCTCATACCAATCTCCCCTGTTCTATCTTACTTGATTTAGTCTCTCGTTGAAATCACGGCGTGATCTGCTCTCATTTGATTTCTGTTGTGCCTTAATTTTTCTGATGCAAAAAAACAGAATAATGTTCCTATAAAATGAATTGTACAAATGCATTGCAAAGCACTGCAGATTATTCTAACGCTTTGGCCCTTCATTACGAAGTCATCGCGCAAGCACCAGAGCTATCACACAAGCCACAACAAAAGCAAAGGCGAACCGTGCACTACAAACCAAGACGACCATCATTCGTCAGCAGTACTACAACGAGGGTGACCTTGTTGACTACCATCGACCCACAACCACGAAGGACAACTGGGGTGGCTGGAATGGAACATCCCCAGTCGAGGGGTCTAGTTATAGTGCGAGTAGCGTTGGTCACTCGCGAAATTGGCTCGGACAACACAGCCTCGCGGACTGCGCTGGTCCTCGTAGCTAGTTTGCCTGCGGGGAAACCTGCTATGACCGTTGGCTATCTCCCGACCAGAAAAGGATGACTTCAGATTGCAAGTGCGAGCCGAGTATCTCCGAAGGTACATCTAGCTCTCCAGTTCTTCATCCGAAATTTCTTCCGCATTGAATGTTCTTTCTGTTTGGCTAGCTAAGAGCATCCACAAGTTACCCCCAGCCACGCATGCTGACATGTCTGCAGTCGTACGCTGGTGCGTTATGACAACGACGTGAACCCAGGTATTCGTTATTATCAAGCTGAAGGCACTGCCTTAAACATCCAAGATATTCCTGGACCAGCACACTCGAGAATCACCCAATGCCTGAAGTCCAAAAAAACAGAAGCGGGTTTCGATCAAGACATGACAAAATTCCAAGAGCTGGTAGACATGTCGACACAAGGCAGCAATGCCAGAGCGGCCCCAGAAGCCGAACAACTACACGATAATGGCCTGCTTCCTACAATTCATGGGGAATCAGAGGCAGACCTCGAGGCACATATTATTGAGGTGTGGCATACAGAATTACAAGACGAAAGGGAACTACTGCAAGCAACCCCAGTAGAAGAATTCGATTCCATACCCACACATATGACCTCTGACAACAGCGCGCTGGTCACAGTTGCTGACGAACAGCAAGAGCACTTGCCTGCACGGGGTAACCCACAGAGTACTAGCACAGCCGAGACACATCATGTCCTGCTGTGCTCCAGAGACGACGACGACAGTTATGGACTAGACTTCGACGAGCACGGACACTGCGTGGAGCTTTGCTTTACGGCAGAGATGTCGAAGGTAGTGATATCCGAACAACAACGTAGGATACTGGACGGCGACCGCGCCACTACGATGCGAGCATCTGCGACCGCTACGGCTAAACGAGCTGCGGTCGTCAAGGAGGACGACCTTCTCACGGGGGCAGATATCCAGGCGAACCCAGTCAAGGTGTCAAAAGCCCTATATACTGAAATCAAGACATGGTCTGACAACAAGCGTTTCAATGTACAAGACAAATCCACAGCGTCAAACATCATGATTTCGAGACACGCACACATATTGATTCGTCACGGATGAGCAGGGCGAAATGGAACGCACCATCAGGTTGCGCCGGCACTCCAAGGCCCCATGGACCTCGAAGCTTTCGACCGAGAAACACTCAGGAACAGCGCCGTGGCCAAGCCAGCAATTACTCGCCAGCACGGCAGCGCGCAGGAAGCAGTGGATCATCGCTTCCCTTGACATCAACATGGCTTGCGCGAAAGGGCCCACATATCATCGAGAGCTCGCTGAAGCAACTGGTGAAAAGGAGCGCGCGGCGTGCATTGCACCGCCACCTGGGCCTGCATCTGCATTCAGATCGCGCCCAGGATTCGAGCACCACGGCGAATCAAGACACCGTCTACAGAGCTTCAAGCCAGGCACCGGCACCAAATATGCGCCAAGAGCTTTCACATGGAAACTCAGGAAGACCACGACAGGCTCTGGACTCGGAGCCATTTCTTACGACGCGGAGTTGGAGACGATTACCGACCTACTCACCGCCAGACATGTTGATGATATAAACATGGCTGGCGCTGAGGACACAATCGACAAATACGTCAAGTGTGTTAAAAATACGTTGGGGAAATGTACACTCAACAAATATACACATACCGATTGCGATGTGAGGTACGCGAAGGATAACGACGGTAATGTTACTCTTGATCAAGACGAATATATATATATATATATATATAGAACAACTCCGTCCTATTATCCAGCACCACAAACTCACAGGTGCAGATGCTGAGGCTGAGGCACCCAAGATGGTCACCGATATGTTTGTCAGCCTCAGAGGCGCTTTGGCTTACGCTCTCATTACACAAGTACGGCGGATGGTGTATGTTGTATCAGTATAGCGTGCTCAGGAACCGATGAATACGCAAGCACGACGAGTTAACGCGATTACCGGGATGCAGGCCTGCCCAAAGAAGATTCTCTATAAAGCGATGATACCAACGGGTGGGGTAGACTTGCACGGCGACTCCGCCGACTCCGGCTATCGTCGCTTAAACGGCGATGCCGATGACGAGGTCGAAAGCTATGGTATTCGCGGGGCAAACCTGCTATGGCGTGGGCACACGCATGCTGGCAGGCCCGCTCTAGCTATTCGGCTGAAACGCTAGAAGCAGCCCATAACTTGGAGGACTGCTACCCCACGATCGTCACGTCACACGCACTACACGCAGGGCCGCCGACACCCACTCAGTTGAAGAATTGTATTGACATGGGCGGCGCCAGCATCAAGGTTACCCTGACCACTGACGCGGAACATGTCTTCAAGCCTTTGTCAAGCAAAAGCCTGGAGAAGCCGTCTGAGTGCATCCTCCTGGGCCACATCATTTGGATACGGCACATGATGGAGCGCGGTATCGTGCATAGCGCGCAGTGGTGCGACACCCGTGGCACGACCGCACATGGCCACACCAAGTGGAGCATTGACCGAAAACTGCTCTTACAGGTTATGGACGGGATGCTATCTTTCAAGCATGACTTGAAGCGACATACTTGAAATTCTTCACGCTTCGCGCATCCCCACCAGCCCATTCCCAAACAGCAACTCCAGCGAAGCATGCCGACAGTCGTGTTTTTTCTGGCGTATTTCTGTCTGCTCTGGCATATATACCCTGTTCCTATGTCCTCCCGCCGCCTTGCACATCCACCTAGTGGGGGGAGCGGGAGGAGGACGAGTCCGAGGAGGAGGAGGGAGAGAGAAGGTGTTGGGATGGAAGACAGAGGGTGGTCGTCGTCGTTTCACACACGCGAACGAGTTAGACGACTCAAATGACGGCGACGCCTCAGACGACGACGGCGACGACCACGACGACGACGACGACGACGACGACCACGACGACGATGACGACGACGAGAGGCCCAAGTCTATATTTCCTCCAGCGTTGTCGTCGCTGTTGCCATTCTGGTTCACAGTGTTGCAGCGTGGCTGTGAGCTTAGCTCCGCCTACCAGCAATCGCTTCCGTCTACCAGCAATCGCTTCCGTAGTCATGGAGAAGCGCCCGTACGCTCTGGTAACCTTGCTAGCCACGGGGGCCCCTTGGAGAGGGCAGCGCGAGGGCACGTCCTTCGACGAGTTCATGCGGGACACGTTTGGAGCATCGATCGATGGTGGCGGTCCGTCGCAAAGCCAAGATTTGGAATTTAGCTGCGCGCATCCGTCTCGGAACGGGTCGAAAAGCTTGCTGAAAGGTCCTGCCGCATGCCGGTTTCCAGATGCGCGAGAGACTCCGCGCGTCATTCTTGCAGTGCGTGGTGGTAGCGGTGGGAGTAGCGGTAGAAGTCGTAGTCGTTGTCGTTGTCGCAGCGCTTGGGGATATACTAGGGCCTTCTTGACGATATGTGAGGACATCTTAAAGATATACTAGGCCCTTCTAAGCGATATGTTGGAGGTCTCGGAGCCCTTTTTGCGGGCTCTCCCGGGACGCTCTTAGGGCCCTCTTGGGGCTCTTTGGGAGGGGTCTGGGAGGCATCTTGGGGCCATCTTTCGGGCGATCGATCACAGATGGGGCGAGCATTTTTCTCCCCCCCCCCGTCGGGGCCACGATCCTCGTGAGGGGTGTCGAATTTTAGCCCTCCCAGGAGTCGAAAAAGACCCCTCCGACCACCCGCGGAAGGACCTCTCCAGGCCCAGGGGGAGGGGGTAGGGGGAGGGGTAAACCCCTCCCCGAAGGGGAAGAAGGGGGATGAGAACAGAGCGGGCTCTCTAAACCACTCACGCCCAAAGGGCCGGTGGGATTGGAGGATCCGGCGCGGATCCAACACGCCCGCGCGGACTTCCAAAGGTTTATGTTTATGTCGTTGTTGTGTTCCTCTAGAGGCCCGAGCATGTGGGAATGGCTTACGAATGCGGTGATGCATCCAGGTGTGCCGTGGGACTTGGCAGCGTCCCGTATAGTGGCAAGCGCCTACGAGCACACGTTGCTCGTGCAACGACGCTGCCGTAGAGAGGATAAGCAGACCATTGCCCGCATCGCGCGGTGCATGCGGGATGTCATCGTGATAGCGGCCATTTCAGACGCAGGCGGACACCGTGACCAAGATATCCGACGGGCTTCGCCGCATGCTGCAATCCCCGTTTCTTGATTGAATGCCTGGTTGATTGGTTGGCTCGCTGGTTGGTTGGAAGCGGGCTGGCGGGTTAGGCGGTTGGACGGTTTCCTGAGGAGACGGGACCAGGGGAAATGAGCCAGGGGAGGGGCAAGGAGAGGGGAGGGACCCAGGGGGCAAAAAGGCGGGGGGCGACCAGGGGTGGGGGGAGGGGAGCAGGGAAGGGCGGGGGCTCAGGAGACCAAGAGAGAGGAGGGGGCCAGGGCAGTAGGCCTGAGACAGCCCAACGCCATGAAAACGCAAGGGGCATCTGCGGCGTGACTTCCTTGAGGCGGTGGAGGTCTGGGCGTGGCGTTTCCCACCGCGCCCCAAGCGCCCGCACGGCCCCATGGCCCGAGGTCCAAGCCAGCCCGCGCCCGAGGGGGAGGCGGAGGACGAGGACACGGACAAGGACGAGGAGGGCGAGGAGGACGATGAGGAGGAGGAGGAGGAGGAGGAGGAGGAGGAGGAGGAGAGGAGGCGGGGGAGGAGAAAGAGGAGAGAAAGGAGGAGGAGAAGGTGGGGGAGGAGGAGGAGAGAGGAGGAGGAGGAGGAGGAGGAGGAGAGGACGACGACGACGACGACGAGGAGGAGAAAGGAGAGGGAGGAGGAGGAGGAGGAGGAGGAGGAGGAGAGAAGGAGGAGGGAGGAAGAGGACGAGGAGGAGGAGGAGGAGGGAGGAGGGGGTGGAGGAGGAGAAGGAGGAGGACGAGGACGAAGACGAGGAGGGTGAGAGGAGGAGGAGGAAAAGGAGGAGGAGGAGGAGGAGGAAGAGGAGGAGGAAACGGAAGAGGAGGAGGAGGAGGAGGACGAGGAGGACGAGGAGGACGAGGAGGACGAGGAGGGTGAGGAGGAGGAAGAGGAGGAGGAGGAGGAGGAGGAGGAGGCGGAGGCGGAGGACGGGGAGGAGGAGGCGGAGGCGGAGGACGGGGAGGAGGAGGAGGAGGAGGAGAAGGAGGAGGAGAAGGACGAGGAGGAGGACGACGAGGAGGGAGAAGGAGGAGGACGAGGAGGACGAGGAGGATGAGGAGGAGGAGGAGGAGCACTGAAGGTTTCAAGGGTCGGATACGTCCCAGGAGCCGCAGGTCGAATACAGAGGACGGCATGGCAGAACCTTGTTGCAAATTGAGAAACACCCGAGAGAGAACGAGAAGGGATGAGGAGGAGAGGAGGAGGGATAAGGGAGGTCGGGCGGTCGATCAGGCCAACGGTTTTGTCGAAAGCTGCAACGCCGTCTGGGGCCGCTTGACTGCCTCAACGTGGAGGCACGAAGCCTAAGAATCCCGCAGGAGCGGGGCGGAACTGCACCGCAACAGGAAGAGACGGCGTGGAGCCGCCACAGAGAGGGGGGCACCGACGGGTGCGGAAGCCGGGGCCAAGCAGGGCGGCACACGCGCGGGCGAGCGTGGTGTGCCGGGGGAGCACCGAAATGGCGCATAGGACGGCGAACGGGCGACGCGCCTCCCACCCGGGAGGTACGACGCGAGGAGCGGGGGCGGGGGAGGCACCGAAGTGGTGTAGGGTCAGTACGTGCGCGACGCGCCTCCCACCTGGGAGGTACGTCGCAAAGAGGAGAGGAGAGGAGGGAGGAGGGCGAGGAGGAGGAAGAGGAGGAGGGCCATGTGTGGAGGGCGCGGTGCCCGCGGGCAGCACGCCCCGTAGAGGTGCCAGGTGCAGCCAGGTGGTGGCGGCTACAGCAGGTGTTTAGCGCCGAGGGCGAGCGCTGGGGGCGTCGTCACAGGCCGTGTCAAAGCGGCGCTTGCCAGGCTTGCCGCTTGTGTCGCGCCCTTTGCCTTGCTCGGCGGCCTCGCGCTCACGCGACTCCTGTCTGCGAGTGTTCTCGGCCTGCTGGTTGCACCATGCCTGATCCCAGTCCACGTGGATACCTTCCCACCAGCAGTATTTCTTGATGTCGAAGTTCCAGTGCCACAGATCGGCCATGAACTTTCGGCACAAGTCCTCGCTGGCAAGCGGGTCGCATCGCCCTTTGCCAACGCCCTTGTTGGCACGCTTGTCGCAAGCGCGCTTCCAACCTTCGCCGAAGTAGGAGCCAGCATCGATCTGGAGACGCCTGATGACGGCACCCCAGCCCTCTGGGCCGCCTCGGGCGTGCATGCGCTTAAACACGAGGCGGGACCGTTGTCGATTTCGCGCCTGGCGCTGGCTGCGGCCTGCCTTGCCTCTTCCATCCAGTTGGGGTCGCTGCCGTGGCCATGTGCGGGGGCGTTGGATGCCGGCCCGCTGGGTGCTGCGCTCGGTTCGGGCAGCCCGGCGGCGCGCGGCTGGACCGGAGTGCGGTCGTCCTGGAACAGGCCAAGAGTACGGCCAGTCGAGCCGAGGAAGTCGAGCAGGACGGGGTTTGGGACATCCCTGGGACGCGCCCGCCCTTTGCCCTTTTTCCTATAGTCCGAAGCGAGCGAGTCCCGTTGGTCACGGGCGTCTGGCGCCGCGGTCCAGGTGTGCTGCGACGAGCAGCAAGAGGTTACGCCGTGCAGGCCGAGGCGGTCCCCCCCGCTGGCTGGCGCTGAAGCTGCCCGCGGCGCCGGAACCGTCCACGGCCACTGTCGCGGCGGGGCAGCGGACATCGGGAGCCAGCGGGGGGTGGGCGTGCGGCGGGTCCGCGTAGACCCGGACGTCGGCACGAGCAGCCGTCGCGGCGGGCCGCAGTGGCGGAGACCGCACAACGCCCCGACGGGCGGGCAGGGGGCGAGCGGGGGCGTCGGAGGGGGCAGCGGACAGGCGGGGGAGGGTACAGGGCAGGGCGCCAGCAGCGGTGTCGGGGGGCGCGCCGGGTGCAGGCGTGTCGGGTTCGGCGTCGCTGTCGTCAGCTTGGCTGTTTCTGACACCGCCAGGGCCCCCCGTGTCACTGAGCACGCTACCAGGTGAACAGACACTAGCCTCCGACACGTCGCGACTGAGAGCGCAGCGGAATGCCGCAATCACGGGTGTGAAGCTGCCAGGTTCGGCCCGCTGGCCTCTGACACCGCAAGTGCTGCCAGGGTCAGGGGTGCCACGGAACGCGGCAAGAGCGGGAGAAATGGACGTTCCTTCTGAGCCCTGGCGAGGCGTCGGGGAGGCCCGCTGCTCTCTGATTCCGCCATCGCAACCAGGTTCGGGCCGCAGGCCTCTGCAACCGCCATTGCAACCAGGTCGGGGGGAAATGGAGGTTCCATCGCGGCCCTCGTGAGGCTCAGGGGAGGCCCGCTGGTTTCTGTCACCGCCATCGCTGCCGTGGCCAGGGCAGCCGGCGGCACCTGCGGAGCCGAAGGCATCGCCAGCAGAGGGGTCGGAGGCAGAGGCTGGCACGTGGGGGGGGGCCACGTACGCCGCGGCGAAATGCGACAGTGTTGCTTGAGACAGAGCTGTCGGAAAACCCACCCGGGCGATCCGACGGGCCAGGGGTGCAAGCCTCCTCCTCCTCCTCCTCCTCCTCCTCCTCCTCCTCCTCCTCCTCCTCCTCCTCCTCCTCCCCCCTCCTCGCTCCTCCTCGCAAGGGGGGTGCTTGCGTGCGGCCGTGGGGGGATCTATAAGGGGCGCAGGCCTGCTGACGTCTCCCTCGCTCCTGTGGTCCAGGGGGTCACGGGCAGGCCCCTGGGGCCCAGAGGCCGACGCGGCCCTCGGAGGGCCAGCGCCCTGCTGACCCTTCCGTTATCGTCGCGAAATGCGATCGCGGTCGTCGCGGTCGTCGCGAAATGCGAAATGCGCCAAATGGTCGCGGTCGCGGTCGTCGTGTGAGCCGTGGTCGTCGCGAAATGCGATCGGAGACGAGCGTGCGGACTCCAGTCCAGCGCCAGGCCCGCCCGGGCGCGACGCCAGAGCAGAAGCACTCCCTCCCTCCCCATCCCGTCCTTCAGCTCCTCCTGGGGAGCAGGGAGCATAATGCGAGCCATGGTCGTCACTCACGAAATGCGACAGGACACGGGTCGCGTGCGGACTCCATTCCAGCGCCAGGCCCACCCGGGCGCGACGCCAGAGCAAAGCATTCCCTCCCTCCTCATCCCGTTCTTCAATTTCTCCTGAAGGGCAGGGAGCGCGAGAAGAGCCGTGAGGAGGTCCTGGAGAAACGGCAGTCGATTCCTCGGGAGCCGTGGTTCCGTGGGCCTCCTCCACTTCCACACACACACACACACACACACACACACACACACGTAGCACCTTGCGGATAAGAACGAGGGGGCGGCGGGGTCGTCAGCAGTGTGCGAGGCTCTGAAGAAGCCCGCCGCGGGCGTCGATTTTCTCTCAGAGCAGTGTGGGTGGGTCGCGGGTGGGTCACTGGGTGGGTCACGGGTTGGGTCGACGGGTGGGTCGCGGGCGGGTAGCGAACGGGAACGACGTCAATGCAATAACAATCAGCACTGCAGAACCCCATTTCAGCCACGCGCCCATGGACAACGAATGACCGCTCAGATCCGTCATTCTGATGTGTAGATGTACTCAACAAACATAAATGTACATCTAGATGTTACAAACAGACACGCGTGCGTACGCACATACATACAGATTGACGTAAGCATAAACATACATATATGCAAAAAGTACACCCGCATACCACCCATACATATATGTATACCTATATGCGTGTGCATTACATTCAGACATACATGCATATATGCAAACATACATACATACATACATACATACATACATACATACATACATACATACATACATATATACATACATACATACATGCATGCATACATACATACATACATACGTACATACATACATACATACATACATACATCCATACATACATACATACAAACATGCATACAAACACACATGCATACATACATACATACATACATACATACATACATACATACAAACATATATACACACACGTGCATGCGTACATACACACATAGCACCCCGCTGTTGCGGATAAGAGTGAGGGGGCGTCGGGGTCGTCGGCAGTCTGCAAGGCTCAGAGGAAGCCCGCCGCGCCGAAACTTTTATAAATTATATTACGAACCTGCCGCATACGTCGGTTTTTTTCGTCAAAGCAACATGGATAGGTCACCCAGTGGGTCGCCGGTGGGTCGCGGGCGGGCTGCGGGCGAGGACGACGAAAACGCAACAACAATCCGCACCTCGGAACCCCGTTTCAACCACGCGCCCAGGGACAATGAATGACCGTTTGGCCCCTCATTCTGATATGTATATATATATATAGATATGTACACACACGCGCATCCATGCACACAGACATACACACACGTACATACATATATACATACCTACATATGTATAGAGAAAGAGACATTAAATCATGTCTGAATATCTGTAAATACGTATGTATCGGAGGTTGGGGGCGAGATCGAAGTGGAACGGAAAGCCCCCACCTAGAAATCGATTTCGTTGTCGGGTTCGTGTCGTGCGAGCGGGCGAGGCGAAGCTGCGTGGGCGGGCGAGAAGAACGACTCCGATGTATGCAGGGCGGATCAAGACAAAAGACCGCCCCTCCGGTGGGCCATCGTGGCTGGGCGTGTCACGCCGTGGTGTTTTGCCGTGGTGTCCCTTCGGTGTCTGCGTGCGGTGGCCCGGGGTGCCTCGCCGTGGTGTCCAGTCGGTGTCCCGTCGGTACCCCGTCTGTGCCCCGTCGGTGCCCCGTCGGTGTCCCGTCGATGTCCCGTGGTGTCCTGTCGGTGTCCCGTCGGTGTCCCATCGGTGTCCCGATTAATGTCCCGATTGGTGTCCCGTCGGTGTCCCGATTGGTGTCAGCATTGTCGTCTTGCATCGTCGCTAAGTCGCGAGCGCATCACCAGCATCGCCACCACCACAACCATCGCACATTGCAGTTGTCTTCGGTTGTTTCTTTCCACCCCAACTTCCATATCACCCGAAGCGTGGTCTTATAGGTATAGACACATACCCCCAAACTGCGTTTGCTTCTAAGGAACTGGTCATGCACGTCGGTCTGGTGGATCCGTGCTCGCCGACGCCGTCCCATCGCCGCCTCGTCGCCGCCCGTCGTGTGGGCCTGCGTGTCGGTCTGGCGGCTCGTCGCCGCCTCGTCGCCGCATTGCATTGCGTTGTGCTGCTTTGCCTCGCTTCGCTGCGTTTTGCATATAGACTGCACCACAGAGAGTGCACAGCATAGATCGCACCACAAAGATTGCACCACATAACTTCCACCACATGTGTTCCCCTTTCCGTAAAGAAGTTAGATTATACCCTCATCACCCCTCTGGGGTTATCAGGCCAGCCTCGCGCATTGCAATTTACATGTCTAGGCCCGTTGCTCACTTTCCTCATGACCAGCCAGGCCAGAGCTCGCCCCCCCATCATCCCTTGGAAAGAATGGTATACGCGCAAACTCGCTCATCAATAATCATCAGTGTTCAAGCATCCCTTGCAAAAAAACGGGACGAAGTGCACACGCGCGAGTCGTCGCGCGCGCATGCCGAAATTTGTCACACATGTTAGCTTTCATAAGGGTTTCAAAGTCGAGAGTCACGAAGACAAATTATATTCAATCGCTTCGCTCACTCCGCCGGCCCATATTGTAGCATCGCTGGCACTTGCTTGCGTGCCTTGGGGGGCGTTTGGGGGGCCTCCTAGGGCCGCTCGGGGGCCTCTTGGGGGCCTCCTGAGGGCCTCGTGGGGGCATCTTAGGGCCTCTTGGGGGCCTCTTGGGGCATCTTGGGAGCCTTTCGGAGGCTCTTGGGCGCTGCTGGGGGCCTCTCGGGGCCGAGGGCTCGAAATATCCGTGCGGGTCTCCCGTCTGGACCCCCTCTTGGAGCCGTCTTGGGGGCCTCTTGGGCTGTCTCTTGGGTCGTCTTGGGGCCCCCTGGGGCGGTTTGGGGGCCCTCTTAGGGGGCCTTTTGGGCCGTCTTGGGGCGATGTTGGGGGCCTCTTGGGCCGTCATGGGGCGCGATCTTGTGGAATCTCGGACCCTTGGTGTACCATCTTGGGAGCCTCTTGGGCGCTCTCTGGAGCGCTCTGGGGGCTTCTCCCCAGACCTTGCCGGGGTACTGTTCGTCCGGGGACCCCCAGGGGCCGCCCCGCGCGCGCGAATTAGAAACATTGTGAACCAGTTACCGGAGATCTTAGCACGCCCGTTGGGCCGGCGAATATACAAAAAATGGTTTCCCAACAAGGGTGTTCAAAAAAACGTGCGTCCACGCTCTTGCGAATTCGTGAGAAAGCCATCGGTTCTTCAAAAGCTTCATCAAATGCTACCAAGTGGGCCGTTCGCGCGCGCGCATGTCGAAATCGGTCGAAAGCCCTTGCGCGCGTGCTGTCGCAAGAACCCCTTACAAAAACCAGAACGACGTGCACACGCGCGCGTCGTCGCGCGCGCGCATGCCGAAATATGTCACACATGTCAGCTTTCGTAAGGGTTTCAAAGTCGATAGTCACGAAGACACATTATATATATATATACGAAAAATGGTTTCCCAACAAGGGTGTTCAAAAAAAGCGTGCGCCCACGCTCTTGCGAATTCTTGAGAAAGCCATCGGTTCTTGAACATGTTCATCATATGCTACCAAGTGGGCCGTTCAGGCGCGCGCATGTCGAAATCGGTCGAAAGCCCTTGCGCGCATGCTGTCGCAAGAACCCCTTGCAAAAACCGGGACGACGTGCACACGCGCGCGTCGTCGCGCGCACGCCGAAATCGTTCAAAAGCTTCAGGCTTCGCAAGGATTTCAAAAACGAATGATCCCCGAAAACATATAAGAACACAAAGTGCTGCAACATCAGTTTTCAAAATAACTTGCGATCGCGGTTTGTGGATTCTTAAGGGAAACATCGGTTTTTCCAACCTTTTCATCAGATTCTGCCAAACGGGCCTCTCGCGCCGCATGTCGAACTCATTCGAACGCCCTTGCGCGCGTGCTGGGGAAGCACGATCCATGTCAAGTTATACCACGCCGGCCACTCGCGCGCGTCGGCCGCGCGCGCATGTCAAATTCCTTCAAAAACCTTCATGGCCGACGCGAAGACATCGTCATCGTTATCGGTGGGCGTGATTAGCATCGGCGCCGTCATGGGCTTTGCCGGCGTCATCGCCACCATCGTCACCACCATCGCCGCTCTCAGAATCATGTCTACCGTTGTCGGCGTCGCCATGATACCGCGCCCGCCCAGGTCACCGACTCGCATTGGAGTGCGCTGGCGAGCGCGGCCGCAGAGATGTACCAGCCAACGCCCAAGCACTCATCGCAATCGCCGCCGAATTGAAAGAACATGAGATGTGTCAACTCGTGTATGAAGTTCAGAAGTGCCACTGAGAGCGCACCACATATATTGATCCACATTGGTAGTCCAATATTTCTTCCCTTACATCTATTGCATATCATATATTGCACGACATAAATTACACAACATAGGTGGCACAACATAAATCGCACCATCGGTATTTTCATTACATACGCTGCACCGAATATACTGTACCACATGCACTGCATCACAAAGATTGCATTACAAAGATTCCACAGCATAGACTGCTAGAAACACACGATTCGGGGTCCACGCTGGCTAACACGTACACAGACATATGATTGGTTGCGACATTGCGCTGCTAAATTGCTAGAATACTGTGGTGCTCTAACAGGTCCTCTCCGCGGCATAGTGCCCCACAAGAGGGCGCGAGCGGAATTTCAAGCACGCGCTCTCAGAAGCCTTCGGCCGCCCGTTGGACAACGACCTGAATGCGCAGATGGAGCACAGCTACCACCAGCTCACGCACGGCGTTCCTGGCGCATTCGTGTCTGGATGCAAGCGGGGACGACTGCGGCGCGCTCGTGTCCGGCAGCTCGCTGACGAATCCTCGAGCGAGGACGAGGCCGAGGAGCACGACAACACGCGGGAGGCGTCCAGCAATCGGGAGTCGGCAGAGAGCGCACAGTACGTGGGAGGCGCGGCGGACGCGGCGCAGCCCTCGCGCGACCCGCCCGACTCGGAGCTCTTCCGCACATTCCAGGCGGAGGCCGGCCGCATGTGGAGGGCGGTGGAGCGCGAGGAGGCCGAGCGCCGGCGCTTGGAGGCGGAGCTCCGCGCGGTGCAGAGGAAGCTCGAGCAGGAGCAAGCCGAGGCTCAGCGGGCTCACGTCTTCACTTCAACTAGCTCTGGGGCTGCTACGACGTGCTCAGGCAGCTCGAGCTTAAGATCTAGATCAGTTCGGACATAACTCGGATGCAAAGGAGGACTCGATCCACTACGCTATAGAGCACAATCGCGGCATGGCACATCGCAATTCGGCACGGCGCAGCATTGCACAGCACAGCCCTTGGCACGGTACATCAAGATCGGTAAACTCAGCATTGCGATTGCCATGCCTCACACTTCTATATTCCCTTCCGGGCTCGTGGGTCGATCACGTTCCGCGATCGGGGGGGGCTTGACCCAGGGCGGCTGGGGGGGTCATACCTCCGCCTGCCGGGCATGAGCTCCCCGCCCCGAGAGGCCAGCGCCCGCCACCCCGAGAGGTCCGTTTTGCGCCTCCTCCTCCTCCTCCTCCTCCTCCTCCTCCTCCTCCTTTATCTCTCCTGCTCCTCCTCCCCCTCCTCCTCCTCCTCCTCCTCCTCCTCCTCCTCCTCCTCCTC